AGGGCATGCAGCAAGCAACTTGGGCTGTTAGAGTTCAAGTTGGGGAGTCTGGTTTGGATCCCTGCTTTATAAATATGCTTCCAAACTGCCTATCTGTCTCTGTCTCTGTCTCTGTCTCTGTCTCTGTCTCTGTCTCTGTCTGTCTGTCTGTCTGTCTGTCTCTCTCTCTCTCTCTCTCTCTCTCTCTCTCTCTCTCTGTGTGTGCACATGTGATTCTCTTGTAAAGCTATATGCACTCTATGGTTTGAAGGAGGCCTATCTTTGAAAATACATAATGAAATTATATCCAGGATCTTTTAAAACAGAAATCTGATAGGCATAATATAATAATTGAGTACTGTTAGAAAAAAAAACTATAGGGGTCGGGGAGATAGCTCAGTAGAATAAGTGCTTTCCTGGCAAATGAAGGGTCCTGAGTTCAATCCCTGATACTACCAAAAAAAAAAAAAAAAAAAAAGAAAGAAAGAAAGAAAAAGAAAAAGAAAGAAAGAAAGAAAACAAACTATAATCACAAAGTCATTGGAGGGTGTAATAATAGTATTGTGAAGTAATAATGTCAGGTGAATTTTCTTTCCACTGAAATCAGTGTTAAATTCTTAACCAGAAATCATCTCTAAGAGACTGGGCTTTATAGTGCATGCCTGTAATCCCAGTGCTTGGGAGGCTGAAAACAGAAGGATTACTACGAGTCCAATCTGTGTAGTGAGACCCTGTAGACCCTGTACTAAAAATACAAGAAAAAAAGTCTCTAAGAGTTAACAAGTTTATATCAAACTATAAAGTGATAGAAAGTTTGAAATGTTACTCTCTAGAAAAGAGAAAAAAGCAATAGTTTAGATAGGTGGACAGAGTTACCTATCAGAAATTATAATGAATACATAATTTGTGTAGCTAGTCAATGGAAATACTTAGAGCACTGCTTAGGTGGCAGGCGCTCACTAGGGTGTACACTAGAATACACTAATGGTTTGCTATGGCAGTAATCATGGTCCATTTGTCAGTGGCTTACTAGGTAGGTCTATTTTTCACTAAATCAAAAAGACTGCAGATCTTGAGGTTGGAGACAGGTAGTTCCTCTGTTCTATGTGATCCCTCAGTGGTGCACATGAATCAAAGTTCTGCTGTGTGGCATCTTGGTGGTTGTTGGATCAGGAGTCAAGGGAATGGAGATGTCATTTCTTGTTTATTTTAGTCATAAATGTTACCTGTTATATCTGTTTATGGCCTAATATTAGAACCAGTGACATAGAAAATGGAGGGTGTTGTCTAAATGTCCTCAGAAGTAAAAGACTGAATACTGCCCCTTGTCCCTCAGTGAATATGACAGACCTTACAGTCTAGTAAACCTTCCTTCATGTACTATTAAGGAATGTCATTTAAAAAAAAAACATAGTTGTCCACTGGTGAGATAGTGAAGATATATGCAACAAGTGAATATAAACTCTTGATGCTTTTGATAGCCTAACATACTACAGTCTCCCATATTTTTATGTGTAAGTAACAAATGATATGTATACTTACTTGAACATGCTCTAAACTGGTGAACACTTAAAAAAAAAAAAAAAAAAAGCTAGGGGCCGGGGAGATGGCTCAGTGGAATAAATGCTTCCCCGGCAAGCACAAGGGCCTGAGTTCAATCCCTGGTTCCACAAAAAAAAAAAAAAAAAAAAAAAGTGTGTCATGCTAAAAGCAAATTATTACAGTAAAGGTCAAAGTTGCTTGTGAAATTGATAGTTGTGAGTAAAAACATTCCTTCTTTGCTATAAACTGGTTAAACACTAATGAACTTCATTCACTGTTAAGTGGATACTTGTCCAAAGGCTACAGTATGCCAGTGACCAAATACTGGGAATGTGCTCGTGAGTAAAAGTGGGCTTCGTGAGTCTTACAGTCCAGTAGAAGAGATAGAAATTATTCTGGGCTGTGATGTGAGTTAAATAATACACTTGAAGTCCTTAAAACAGTGCCTAGTGTATACTAACTAAGAAATAAATGTTGACTATATTGTCATCATTCAAAGATCCTTTTGGCTAAGCAGCAGAAAATAAATTAGGAAAATAATCTAGACATTGATATAAAATGAAGATATAATAGACTAAGTGATATGCAGAAGTGGTGAAAAGTAGGGAAAGACATTTGATTTAAAGCTGAGAGTGCAGTTGACAACTCTTGCCACCTGCTACCTACCCTCTTCACTCAGCTCATATTTGGCCTCCAGCCACTTGAACATAAGCTGCATGAGAGCAAGGGTGTGGGCTCCTGCTCATTGGTGTGCCCTCAGGAGTACTAGCAAGGCCTGGCACCTAATGCTTAATAAACATTAACTGTGGAAGAGGGAGAGGAAGAAGAAGGTGCAAGGACAACTCTCAGATTCTTGGCTTGTGACAATAAGTGGTATGTGGCTCTGTGTCCGAGCCAAGGACTAAGTCTTGGGTGTTAAGGTCACAGGTTGCCTTCTGGACACAGTCTAATGTGTGTTTGTGACTGCCAGGGAAGGAGGTCAAGGAGGCAGTGGGATATAACCATGTGGAGTTCAGATGAGCCTCTTGGCTGGTGTCACAGACAATGTAGAAGAGAGGTGAGGATGGCCAGAGAGTAAGTCTTAAGGAATCTCCTCACCATACAACACGGGGACTGAGGAGACTAGTTAGGCCCAAGGCACAGCAGAAAATGCAGGCAATGATGTGGTAGGAAATGCCTAGGGAGGAAAGTGTTTCCACAGTGAGGAATCCAGTTCCATCACTCTGAGACAGGTTGTATGGCTGTGCTAAGCCTCAGCTTCTTCACCCTTAAATGGAGTTTAGTATATGTCTTTCACAGTATTTTTATTATAAGACAGCGCAGGTATTTGAGCTTGGAGAATAGCAACTTTTTTCTCAACTGTTAGTTTTAGGGGGAATAATATCTGTTTGTAACACAAAAAAATGCATGCTTTCTTTTTGTATGTGTAAGATTAGCATCTAACTGGATCCTTATGTATATCTAACATACTTTTTTTTTGGTCTTTTTTATTTTAAAGAGAAAAAATAACAAAACAGTTTCAAAACAGGTTAGTAGGAGAGTTTCAATAATTAATACATTGCGTATTGTCTTGGTAGTCATTATTCAGACTACAAGATCTAGGCAGGATATCTTGTCCAAACAATATTAGCACAAACTTTCTTTTCAGTGTACTAAAGGCATACTGACTTTTGGACAGGTAACCTAATGTATTCTGTGGAGGGACAGTTGGTGAAAGAGATATTCCTGTGTAAGAACTCTGTGAGATGGAAAGCAAAGTTTGAGATAGTTTTAAGTTACACTAAGATTAAATTTCCTGTTTGAAATGAAATGTTTCATGGATTAGCTTTTGTCTCAGGTAAAACTCTGACCATCACTTGTTGTAGACTTGCATTATTCTTGGAATATTTGTGCCTCTGAAATGTGTGCCTACTTGAATATATGAATACTATTATTTTGGATCAAAATTTATTTGAGTTACTTTCTAATTTCCTCACAATTTTTCTTAACAAAGAAAGAAAAGAGAGAGAGAGAGTACGAGAGAGTTTTGGAGTTTTACAATCATAAAATGTTTTCTTCTGAGGCTATAAATTTAACAGAATTTTTAAAATTACTTAAGATTATTTTTTAGCAAGTCCTCCTTTTGGAAGCAATAATATGCACATTACAAAGTCTACATCAAAACACATTTGTTCATGAATATTGTATACTGAGAAAGAACCATAGTGTGCTTGTGCATGTGGATGTGGTTAGAATTATTTTCAACGGTTCTTACACAGAGGCGATTTGGATGCTATGGTTTGCATTCTGTGCCTTCTAGGGGCGGATCATTTGCATGAACCGCATTCCTGCTGCCAGCTATTATCCACTCCCCTTGGGTATTGCTGTAACTCGGAACAGTGCTAACTGCCACTCTTCACTTTGCCCTTGGAGAATGTTTTCATAGATATACTCAGATTCTAAAAACCATGGTTTCCATGAAGTAGAAAACCTAAGAATTCATTTGGTTTACATTTGCATCAACTTACGTTATAGTCAGGCATGATCTTGAACTTTATATGATAGGATTGTTGAGCAAAGAACTATTACTGTCCACATTTTTGTGTATGGTTACCAGAGTCTGATGTGTTATTCTCAGTGCTGTAAGTTTAGACAGAAGCCATGGAAAGTCTGTAGTTGAACTCTAGAGGCCACTCAAATTCCCATCTTTCCTCTGCCCTTCTGTTTCTTTATCTTACTCCTGCTATAAGACCCTGGCTTCTGTATCTTCCAAGTCTCCCTTCTAGATTTAGACCAACTCACCTATTCAACATTTAGTTTTGTAGGTGCTTTGGGGAGAAATGAGAGTGGGGTGTTGTGATTCAGTGGTGGAGGGGTCCCTGGGGAGTAGGGTAGAGAAGAGGCTGTAAGAAAATGGTTGAAGTGTTCGGCCTTCATCATTGACAGACCCGCCTATCATTAAATTATAGGTGAGGCATTTAGCTTAATTAGATAATTAGTTTCATAAGAAGCTAAAAAATATTTTAACACCATTATGAAGTAGAAGTTGTCATTGATAATTCTCTTGGGCAATCTTCTTTTTTAAGTGAGTTATTTAAGCAAAAAGACTCAGTCAGCCTTTCCGTTCACACAGTCTGGCACGTTAACCTTCCTGTCTTACCCATGCGCTGATGTGAGATGCTGCTGAGGAACAGACCGGGAGTGTGTGAAGAAGTCGCTTCCTGGTTTCACATTCCTGCATGCTTCCTGTCGCAGCTTCCTCACAGTGCACACGCACTGAGTACCTGATGGACAAGGATTAAGCACCCTGAGAAACATGAACTGAAAGAAATCCCCTTTTGTTAGGGACACTTTTGTGGATCCCATTCACTCTTTCACCGTTGTTCTTTTTGCTTTCAAACTTTAGAAACGACATAAAGCGGATAACGCAGTGAACAAGAAACAGACACAAGGTAGGAATTTTACGTCTCCTTTCTCATATTTGCCAGGCTGCACTCACAGTAACTATGAGTCTCGCCAATTAAATATAATTCAGTTGAAGATATTGTGCGTGTCTTAAGTTTTGTTTGTGATGAGTTATCTCTTGCTTTGAAGCATGTACTAGTGTGACTCTTAAATTCACATTAGAGTCATTTACAGTGTTACTATTTTGAAGGCTGACATTTTAATATATAAAAATACCTCATAGCGGTGTGCTCCACTTTACTGCCCATAAACCTGAAGTTGTTTTCATAACATTAAAAACTAAAATTTGCCTATTTTGTCTGTGATCTGATCTACAGATGCTTCTCTAGGAAGGGTACATAGAAAATAATCCGGTGTGCTATGACTTTGTTGGAAAGCATATTGAGAGCCTGTGAGTTACATGACGTATGCAGATGAAACAGTTCCCCAAATTAAAGGAAATGATTTATGCTAGGCCAGCTTCAAGAAGTAGCATGGGTCTCATTTTGAGGCAGCCAAAACCAAAATGACCCTCCAAACAAGCAACAAGGCCACTATGCTGTCAGATTTTTTAAAAAATTCAGAGACTTACAAAAGTGACACTGACTCATCCTTGCGCTTCTGCCCTTTGAGAGTCTTCTGTCTGAAGATTGCGGCCGTGCTGAGGATCGGCAGCATCTCCCACCATCACCTGGTGATCTACAACAGTATTTTATCCTGTTGCGATTTTTATTGGGCTGTTAAAGCACTGTGCTTTTTTTCTGACCACTTAAAAGGCTACGTCTACTCATGTTTGATGCAGTTGAAGAAATCAGGTTTATTAACCTAAAAACACTTATTGGCATATTTATTATAGGATATATAAAAATAATTAGTGGGAGATTTTAACTTTCAAGAGCTTATTATCTATTTATTCCATTAACTATAGAGGAAATAAAAGTAAAAGGACAAGTAGGAGATGATTTCCATATAAGATTAAGGATTGGGCTGTATCGTCTCAATGTCTTGTTAGATTTTTCTGCCAAATAATGTTTTTCATATCTAATGCTGAAAAAAAAATTAGAAACAGAGGGTATTGTTGAGTATCTTAAGTGAGATCTTGGATTTAGAGAGAATTATGAAGAAGCACAGAGGTGGGGAAAAGACATTTTGTGTGTGGATTGTGTGAGAAAGGCAAGAGAAGAGGAAGCAGAAAGGAAAAGGCTGCTGGACTGCTTGGTTGATCTGACACTAAAGTGTCATTTATAGGAAAGAGAATCCTATCAAAGGGAAACACATTTGAAAAGTAGATTGGGCTTTAAATTCCAAACCAAAAAAATTCCAACTTTTCTTGTATGTCTTTTCTTGAGTGGCTATTAATAGTTTATAGAGTTCGATCTGTAGCAGGAGCAGAGAGCGGACCCCAGAGAGCCCTGAGCAGCCCACTGCCGCCGCAGGCCTAGTTGCCATCACACACCGGGAGGAGCCGCAGCGGCCACAGCGCAGCCGGTCACCATCACCGTGACTGTGAGCAGCGAGGCCGAGACCCAGCCGCTGCCCGCCGCCCCCCTCAGCGCTGCTGACACCAAGCCCTGCACCACGGGCAGCAGGGCAGGGAGCGGGGCCCTGGTGGCGCCTACCGGCAGGGACAAAAGCATCATCACAACGAAGGTTTTGGGAACAGTAAAATGGTTTAATGTAAGAAATGGATATGGCTTCATCAACAGGAATGACACCAAGGAAGATGTATTTGTACACCAGACTGCCATAAAGAAGAATAGCCCCAGGAAGGACCTTCGCAGTGTAGGAGATGGAGAGACTGTGGATTTTTATGTTGTTGAAGGAGAAAAGGGTGCGAGGCAGCAAATGTCACAGGCCCTGGTGGAGCTCCAGTTCAAGGCAGTAAATACGCAGCAGACCGTAACCATTATAGACGCTATCCACGTGGTAGGGTCCTCCACGCACTTACCAGCAGAATTACCAGCATAGCGAGAGTGGGGGAAAGAATGAGGGATCGGAGAACGCTCCCGAAGGCCAGGCCCAGCCACGCCGGCCCCGCCGCAGGTGAAGGTGCCCACCTTACTACATGTGAGACCCGATGGGCGGCGGCCACAGCACTCCAACCTCCTGTGCAAGGAGAAGTGATGGAGAATGCTGACAGCCAGGTGCAGGAGAACAAGGTAGACAAGGGAGACAGAATATGTATCGAGGTTATAGACCACGATTCTGCAGGGGCTGTCCTCGCCAAAGACAGCCTAGAGAGGATGGCAATGAAGAAGATGAGGAAAATCAAGGAGATGAGACCCAAGGTCAGGAGCCACCTCAACCTCGGTACCGTCGCAACTTCAGTTACCAACGCAGATGCCCAGAAAACCCTAAACTACAAGATGGCAAAGAGACAAAAGCAGCCGATCCACCAGCTGAGAGTTCCTCGGCTCCCGAGGCTGAGCAGGGCGGGGCTGAGTAAATGCCAGCTTGACATCTCTACCATCATCCGGTTTAGTCATCCAGCAAGAAAGAAACAAATAGGAAATTCCAGCAATAAGAAATGAACAAAAGATTGGAACTGAAGACCTTCAGTGCTTGCTTTTTGCCCGTTGACCAGATAACTAGAACTATCTGCATTATCTATGCAGCATGGGGTTTTTATTATTTTTACCTAAAGACGTCTCTTTTTGGTAATGACAAACGTGTTTTTTAAAAAAGCCTGGTTTTTCTCAATACACCTTTAAAGGTTTTTAAATTGTTTCATGTCTGGTCAAGCTAAGATTTTTAAGAACTTCATTTTTAATTTGTAATAAAAGTTTACAACTTGATTTTTTCAAAAAAAGTCAACAAACTGCAAGCACCTGTTAATAAAGCACCTGTTTAAATAATTGAAAAAAAAAAAGTTTATAAGCCAATAAAAAGAGAGACGGTTCAGGAAGGACAGCAGAAAGAAGTAGAGTAGAGGGCTACCAGTTGTCCAGAGGGAGCACTTCTCCAGGGGTTAGGTCTGAAAGGACAGTCATAGGAAAATCCAGATATTTCAATACTGAGGATTCTGGAAGTGCACCTTTGGTATTTGTTGCTACATTGCTCAGAATATTCAGTGAGATATTTCTTTTTTTATGTATTTAGTACAGGGTCTACAGGGTCTCATCATACAGATCAGACTCACTCAAAGTGATCCTTCCTGTTTTTCAGCCTCCCAAGCACTCGGATTATAGGCACTCACCACCATGCCCAGTCTCTATCGCCATCTCAGCGTGCCTTGGGGGCAGGGCCAGCATGGCCCACCAGGGATCAAACCCCTGTCCCTGTGTCTGCCTAAGCAAGTGTTTTAATCTGCTAAGCTATCTGGCCAGCCCTAAAGAACTATACATGGGGACGCTATTTATTTATTTATTTACGGTACAAAGGATTGAACTCAGGACCCTGCACTTGCCAGGCAGGTGCTTATTCTGCCGAGCTATCTCCTCAGCTATGATATTTCTTATAGGAGAGGGCTGCTGTCTTCAGTGACAGTTATTAACTTTCAGGTCTTGATCTAAGACATTATCCTAGTTAAACTGAAGAATACTTGTCAAGACTGACAATTTTAGGTCACTCCTGGCTCTAATTTTCTTAGTACTTATTTCCCCAAATGTTCCTGTCAGAGAAAATGTTCTCCATTGGCCTTTCTTGGCTCCTTAGTCCCTTTTCTGGACTAATAAGATCAGCTCTAATGGCTAGAAATGAGGAATAAGAAATGAGGGAAGCTTCAGTACTAGTGTTCGCATTTGTAGGTCATTTCAAAAATACAGAGTCAGGACTCAGCTATAAAAACCATTCTGATTAACAGAATACTTGAAATCCCATATTCAGGTAATAATGGCTCTTAAGTTGGTACTTGAAATTATTGTCTAAGAAATTTGTATTTTCTTCTTTGTGTACTTTGCTACTTGATATTTCTTTTGGTTGATAGGCAATGACAAAAGTGTTTGAATAACAATCTGTTTACTGTCAGATAGCTCAAATTACTTAATATGAGACCCATTTGTTGTCATCTGACCAGAATGAAATCCAGTTTTCTTTCCTGAACTGAGTCTGTGGTGGGTGTTTAGGAGAGAGAGAGAGGATATTGATGACAGGTAATTAAGTTTTGAAAGAGAAGCAAAGTATTAAATTTTCATTCTCTAAATGGTTACCAAGACCACATAATATGCAAGAGGACATTTTCCCCTCAGATTAAAATATCAACGCTTCTGTATTTTTCCAGAAGTAAGTATTTTCTCTAGTTTTGCATCAGGGCAAGAGGCTTTTTTTTCCTCTATCATTTCCTAATGACTTCAGAAATATAAATTTGTAATTTATTTCCAATACTTTAACTGTTCAATTGTATAACAATGTTCGTCTAGCACCTCGTTTTTACCAGTTAAGTTATGGAGTTTGGACTTAACTCAGGACTTCACAAATAGGCTCTCCATTTGAGTCTATCCACTTTGAAGGAAGAGCCACTTCTTGCCCAAATATATAAAAGTTGCTTAAGTAGATGGTCCAGTGTCCTGGCAAGTGCATTTTCCAAGCACCTCATTGCAGAGCAAGGGCAAAGTATAGATCACTGCTCAGGACTCAGGGGAATGAGCGAGCCTTGGTGGCCTTGGTGGCCCACTCTTCCCCAAGCATATTGACCACTCTTTGGGCTCCTGGCTTTCCTTGTTGCTCTGTGCTCACTTGTGTGTGGGCTGGAGCACAGAGAAGCCACGGCCAGCTTCTCCCTCACCTTTGTGTTTCTGGGAGCTCTCAGCCCAGGATCCTGTCTTAGCAGATGTTGTGGGATTTGTAGCAAAGCAGCAGCAGTGTGGATCACTCTCAGCTGCTTGAATATAGATAGCGAGGGGAAAAGAGAGCCTACGTACACAAGGGGCTGCTTGAGAAATTCTTCATCGGAATGGGAACAGGATGCAGAGCAGTGTTTCCCTCCTACTATGTCCCGGACGATTTCAGAAGCACCAGTAAGTGCTAAGGTGGTGCAGGTTCTCCCCACTGCATTGCTTTCTCTGTCAGT